ACAAAAGAGTCTAGGCAAGCAACAACACTTGAGTAAAACCGGCTCCCAAGACACGAAACAACGCTCCGGTCCGGTGCATCCCCGTCCCCGCTCTCCGGCTGGCTCACCTGGCCAGAGAGAATGCCCTCGTGCGGTAGTTTATCCACCGCAGGTATCGAGCCACCTTTCTCGAGATGTACGTTTTCCCAGTTCCGGGGAGGCCGACCATGACCACCAAGAGCTTCCCCCCCTTGCGATGCCCCTTGTGGAGGAGGTCAGTCTTGGGTGGGAGGTCACTGTTTGGCGTGGAGTGGCGCCGAGCGGAGGGACGGGGGGGGCGTACTCGCATGTTTTGCATGCCTTAGCGGTTACATCATTGGCCACGTGTCGAGAGGACGGAGAATTTTCCCACAGGACTGATCACCGATGGCCAATTGTCCGGAAGGGGGGGGAGGTGCAAGGTTAGGTTCGTAGAGAACCGATGGTCAGCGACTACCACTCGACCTGAAGACAGTCGGAGTTTTTCAGCTGGAATACCTGCTGATGGGTGCGAGACGGGAGGGGGGGTGTACTCATAGTCGTGCATGCCGTAGTCGTTTGACCATTGACCTCGCATCCCTACAAAGCCGGGACGGAGCACGCCGGGTTCTCACCGGACCAGGCTCTCACATCACCAAGCGCGAAGCGCCGTGAGGTATTTGGCGAGTCGCATGAAGGGTGAGCTGCATCCTGCTAAGGGTGTTCGGCATCTTGTGCTTACTTCCTTGCGTACGGATGACAGCTACGTATGGCTTAATTTATTGTCTGGTGCTTTCACTTCCAGAGACAGTTGTAAGCACTGTGTAACTGCCTCGAGGAAGCTTGACCATTTTAACACAACGTGGTGCGATCATCCCCCCTTGCGCAGAGTGAGGGTTCTCGCCCGCACAACATGATCTACTCGACCACCATTATGGTTACCGCCAAAAAAAAAAACGAGGTAAAAAAAAAAACGGTAACCTGGTTGCCGAGTTCACGAAGTGAATTGGCTTGTTTTACAACGTCGTTGCCAAGCGACGAAAACCCAATCCCGATGGCAAACACCGAGTGGGGGGGGGGAGGGGGGGGGGGCACCGGGTCGTGGTCTGCCTACACCTATCAGCTGACACTTTTGTTGCCATGAAAGCACTGTACACCGATGTTTTCCCGATCAAACTCGTTGGAAGCAGCTGGAACGGATGGTTCGGTGAGGACGGGGAATGTCACGTGAAAGTGTTTTCGCAGGCACAACGATCATTTTTCACTGCGTCAAGCAGACACCAAACTCCGCCTGACTGCTGTGTCCCGGACGCTCAACACACCGCACGCTTCGACCATGAGTTTTTCTACGGGCGATTATTTAAGAAGGCCCAAGCGTGAAAAATCAATCGGGGTGTGTAGCACAGAAATCGGCGTCGGATACAACATGGGTAAGAGTAACGGCAGGGCACCAAGTTAGATGGCACATCGATTCACCACCCACGCAGTTTATCCGGCCGCATCATCATCACCATCATCATCATCGACAACGATTACTACTACGCGGAAAAGATACGGGCAGCAGCAACAACAGCGACGAGAGAAAGCCCACCCGCATCAGCCCGCAATATACCATACCATGACCCCAACCCTACCACACCGCGTATCCGTACCAGTACCTATTCTTCTGGAACCAGTTGGGGACGCTGCCCGCCCCGATGTTGGGCCCCTCCGGATGAGGCTGCAGGGACGGGGCGACAAGGTCAGCGGTGGAGTTGGTCCTGGGAATCCTGGCCACATCGCTGTCGCCGGCCTCGCTCCCAAGCGATCTGAGAACCGAAACAAAAAATGGTAACACGCGCTCATCAGTCCGCCCAACAAACCAATGTTGTTGATACTTCGCGTGTTGATGTTGGTGTGGTTGGATGTGTCCACTCGCGAAGCACCTTTCTTTCTCGCCTGCTCCCTTGGTCCGTGCTCGCTACATGCGTTCCCGTTAGACCCCCAGAATCAACTTCCGTTGGTAAATCGCAACACGAGGCTGAAAACAGGTTGCTCTCGGACACAGCGCCGCAGCAGCGAAAGTTCTTGAAATCCGATGCTAGGAAACGTTGATTTGTTTCAACTCCCGCTTGTGGTGATACGTCGACTGATACGTCGACCGGAGGGTCGACGAACGAAAGATTGCGAGTCATCGCCCGGTCCGGAGTTACAGAACAGCAGGCCGGAGTCAGCGCACCCCCGTGCGGTCAAATCTAAACTGCGAATGATGTGTACAAAACGACCCCACGGGGGTACGATGACTCGCAATCGTACGGTTTTGTCTCCGCGGCCAAGTCTGACCTTTGCTTCTCACAAAGGCATGTGTTCGTGATTATGCATGCAGTCGTCGGAAACTGTGCTTCCGTGTGTCCAGATGGCGGTGTAACCCGAATGACACCCGCCATCCCCCGGATCGGAAGTTCGAACATGAAAGTTCCACGCTTCCAAACCACAACCGTGACGACGCGACGGGCTTTTCGGCACTTTTGCGGCACGAACCCGTGGGGAGCGTGTGTGTTCTCACGAAGGAGACGGAGAACGTGAACGTGCTGTTGTAGTATATAGGATGCGCCAGGGGCGAGAGTTCTGTGGATGGGGGGTGGGCGGAGCTCGTTCCTTCCACTTGCGCTGTTTCCGAGCCGATATCCATTGTTGGAGGAAATGATCAGATCTCCATTGAGAAAAATGATCGTCAGTTTTTTTCGTGGGGGTTCCCAGAGAGGAAACGTCTTTCTCTCCCGAATAACATGCTGCAACGATACTTCGAGTTTAGCCTCTTCTCGGAAACAGCAACGGAACAGAAGAGAAGTACGGTAATGAAATTGGACAAACGCCAGAGAGGTTTTTCATGTGAGCACTACAACAACGACCACGCCGACAGCAAACAAGATACATGTAGAGCGGTGGTGACAAGACAAACTGCTGCGCTATTGCTTCTGTTTTGCATATTATAATTCTACCGAACCACCGCAACCGCTGTGATCAGTACAAATATACAGCAAGAGGAAGCCCGGCAAAAACCTACACTCTGCAGACTAGTAACCTCGAAATTTTGCAACGCTGATCTAGTGTTGCTGGGCTGGAGTGCACGGAAGGGGTCTCAGTCTGCACTGGTAGTGCGGGCTCGGTCTCCGCCGAGCTGTTTACAGGTGCTGTAAGTACGGGGTCGGCAGTCACTTACAACATAAACCGGTACCAAACTGGCACCCTACCTTCAGTATTGTGACCCACCACTAGCTGCAGTCTGCCGGTGCAGAAAGCAATGGACGGGTCAAGGGGACAGCAGGGCCAAGAGGTCGTTGACCTATGACGCACAGCGCAAACAGCTCACCCGGCACCAAGTGCCGTGTGGTGGCGCACCAACCTGCTTGGGATGTACAACTCCTTGCTGTCTTGGAAACGAGAGCGCCTGTCCCGCGAGGCGACAGCGAGAAAAACCGCCACCGAGGAGACAGCCGCGAGAGCACCAGCAGCAGCGACCAGCGCGATGTTGCTGCTATCCGGTGATGGACTTCCTCGGCCCATTGCGTTCGTGCGCTGTTGTGTGCCAGAGTGCTAGACGGGTCCGGGTAGGAAGCAGTGAACAGGCAAGGACGCAAGGACCTGCGGAACACGCACTGGAAACCAGGGACTGCTGAACACTGTCCGAATCGACCAATCACATCATGGGGCGTCACATCGTCTTTCCAAAAGGCAAACAGCAGTTGAGAAGGAGCAGCAGACAGCAGTGACACAAACAGGCGTGGACTCTCCAGCGCAACGACCTCCTCTCCTCCAGAAGTAGAGGTAGAGACAGCGTCGACGCGGTCCTTCCCTGCTTTCTGCCTTCGGCTTTCACGTAAGCCCCCTTTCTCTTTGTCCTGGTGGTGCTTGCTGCTGTGCTGTGGGCATTGTTCGTTGAATTGTGCGACACGCGTCGAAGCTTAATAGCTTGTGTGCGTGTGCAAAGCGGCAGACATTCCGTAGTTTTCGGCATGCGACTTCCGGTGCTGGCAGGAGTTGCGGTTGTATTCTGCTTCAGCGGTGGCGTCCTTTCACCAGCAGCCGCCAAAAAGTCAACACCAGCACCAGCGGCAACGCAAAGAAATCTTGACAATCCTTCCACGACCAGCGGCTCAGCAGCAGCATCGTCTCTGTTGTGGTGGCGAGGAGGAGGAGAGGTTGAAGCCAGAGAATCTTGGCTTTCCGCCGTTGCTCTCAAGATCAAGCAGCACGCGCCTTCTGCAGGAAGCAACAGAGCGAAGGTCGCGTGGACGGAATATGAGAGCCGCAAGTCCGAGCTCAAGCGCAACCCCGAAGACCCGCGCCTGCAGCTCGACACTGCAGAGGCCCTCCTGAAGTGGATAAGGCACACGACGAACGGAAATTTTCCGCGAGTGTCGGCGGAGGGGAAAGTCTGCGACGGCGACAGCCCGGCGAGTAGGGCGATCTGGCGCAAACACGCGCCAGAGGCGCTGCGCTTGCTCAAGACTGGCGCCACGCACGCACTGGATAGCGGCAGTAGTGGCGGGGGCTATGATCTAGCTAAGGTGAGTGAGTCTGGGGGGCACTGCACAGCGCCAGGGTATGTACGGTAGCAACGGGGTTGTGACCTAGCTGGGGTGAGAGTGAGTCTGGGCGAAGGCGCAAGAGCCACGTGGCCGACTTCACGGTCGTATGCATACGGGTGTCCAAGTTCGGCACCAACTCCCCGCTTGCACACCGACACCGCTCCCGCGGCTGTATTCCGCCCGCCGTGCTGTTTTTATACTTCAAGACCTTGACCTCTCTTTCCCTTCCGCCCACACATGGAAACATCAGTACCGCTTCCTGCAAGCCGAAGCCTGCACCTACCTGTCGAGTGCCAAGGGTGTGCTGAGGGCCGCTCTCCAGGCCGATGCCGTTGCCTTCAGACGCAACGTGAAGCCCCTCATCGACGACCACCCGGAGTACCAGGGGGGCGTGGGGCACACGTTCTTGGGATCGTTCTACCTCGTAGCGCCTTGGCCAGTACACAACCTCGCCAAGGCCAAGGTACGCATCGTAACCAGCAGCTCATATGCTCACCCGTATGCATACCATGTGCAGCAAAGCTATGGGAGGGGCGCGTGCGTGGATACTCGTCGCCCTCGCCCTTTGTTTTTGTTGAAAGGCGTTGCAGCGGTCACACGTGCATTGTTGGCAATTTCCCCCACTCGCCTTCGTCCTCTCACTGCTGTCTTGCATTCGCTCGTCTTGAGTTCCAACGGCGCCGGTCGCTCCGACCTCATACTGAAGTTACCCATTCGTGGGAAATGGAACACACGAACACGGCCTTTCCCCCCCGTTTCCCTCGGCGTCTCAAAAACGCCTCATACGTGGCACGCGTGCACCGTACCCCCTTCCTCGCCCCCACCCCCCCCCCGCTTTCCCCGTTCGCGCCGACTCAGCTGAGTCCGGGAACGGTGTACCAGAGCACTTACACATAGCGCCATGAATACATCCTTTACAAGTTTCATCTCAGTTCACGGCGCCCTTTTTTCACCCTACTTGGCCTCCATCCCCTTCGCGTTACCCCCCCCCGTGTCCTGTCGGGGCGCCCGTACGCGCTCGCGCTCGCGGACGCGGACAAAAACACGACAACGACGTATAGGTTCACTTCGACGCCGCGCTCAAGATCGATTCCCGGTGTCCTCGGAACCACTACTGCCGCGGCCTCGTGGCGTTGGAGATGGGGGACACGCCGATGGCCAAGGCTAGTTTCCAGCGAGCGCTGAGGTGCAAGCCGACGTCCGCCGAGGAGGAGGACGTCGGGGATTTTTTTCACGCCGAGAGCCTTGGAGCACTGACGGCCCTCGAGAAAGACGCGGGGGGAGCACGGGACAGGGGAACGGGGAGCGGAAGAGGGGGCAGGAGAAGGACAAGAGGAGGAGAGCAAGGGGGAAAGTTGGTGGCTGCTGATGCGTCCTCGACGCCTTCGTCTAAGAGTGCCGCTTTTGTACGATCAAAGCTGGCTGCCGACTGGTAAAATGGCGTTTTTTTACGTGGGGTAAACTATTTCTACTGCATGAGAACCGACGCACCATGTGGGTTGTGTTTGTTGTTGTGTCTCATGTGTTGTTCTTGCGTATATCACAGCCTGGGCAACCGATCGGTTGGGTTCCGATGTAAATACGGTGATTGAGAAATGCAATAGGGAAACTGACCTCAGGCAGGATGGCTGGTTGGGTACGTGATGCAATTATGAAAACGGGGTTAGTAACGGATGCAGCCGTGCTGCTGTCTTGCCTCGTTTCCGATTCCATCGCCATCCCCCCAGTGGTGCAGTTGGTATCCTTGCGACTCGAACGTTTGGACGTATATATCCAATATCGAACCGGGTTTTTTCTCACGTTGCGCCCAAACAAACGTGGATCCCGAATTGGTTCGCGTGTACCACACGATTATATCGAATTCACGGTCGACGAGGGAATCGAACGGTCGGACCGTTCTTGAGAGAGGTGCCCCTTCATGACGAGTCCGATCTACTGAACCGTCTATCGAGGCCGGTTCCCTCTTCTCACAGTGTCAAATCGAAGAGCGAACGCGTACACGCCCACAGAAGATCGGGTTCCGGTTACCCCCTAAGGGCGAGGGGGTATGTGCAGATCCACCTTCGAAAAGAGTACGTACAACAGGGGATTCTGAACCCTTCTCGCGATAACAAACCAAGGCAAGCACCACAGGGCAATAAAACAAAACACGTTTCCCTTGTATTGTGTGACCCCGGCTGATACGTCAGGTATATACGCCGAAAGGCCTGTAAACCGGCGCCAGAATAGATGGGACGAACACATGCACACACGGGAGGGTGTGTGGAGCTACTGTATGATAGTGTATGTGTTACTATTTGGTTTGACTCGTCTTGCTGCTGACACGACGACTGTTGGATCGTGGGGGTGTACGATTTTCAAATTGGGGGATGTAGCATACCACGATATCCTGACTTCGGCTGGGCTTGAAATAACCCTGTTGCTGTCCTCCGCTCTTTGAATCAGTGACTCCCTAGGTTCGTGCGAAGGCATGTATGAAGCTGTGGTATTTGTCTCTGGGAAAGAATATGTAGAGAGCAAAATATTGGCATTCGGGAGTAGTGAAACAGACATAAGGTTGAGCTTTATTCAAATGGGTAAGATACGTCTCACCTGTGCAGACATAGTCAACCTACGTCAGCGGAGCCGATATCCAGAGGCAATCAGCGGTGTCACATTCTCTAGCAAGCAGCTTCCTCAACACCCAAAAGCGTCACATCGTGTCGACATCACACCCATGGCATCCTTAGCAAGCTCCATAGTCGCCATATCAGGTTTAGGACTCACAAGCAGTAGCGGGTGGCAATAGGCAAGGGATAAGGCTCAAGATCTTTGCATTTTTTTCTGAAAATATCTTGAGCCATGACCCTTGCCTACTGCCACCCACTTTGAGTGCTGCACCTGGTATGCTGAATATGGAGCTTGCCAATAATGGCATGGGTGTGATGTCGACACGATGTGACGCTTTTGGATGTTGAGGCAGCTGCTTGCTAGAGAATGTAACACCGCTGATTGCCTATGGATGTCCTCTCCGCAGACGTAGGTTGACTACTACATACGTCTGCACAGGTGAGACGTATCTTACCCGATTGAATAAAAAGCTCAACCTTATGTATGTCTGTTTCATTAGCACATTGCGCATTTTTCGAGTTTTGGCCCCCGTCCAGGGAGCTTGATTTTTCTCGCTGACACTGACGTCTTTTCATTGGTCCGCCGGGTAGGGCAGTCGATGCCACTAGAAACGAATACGCAAATCCCCCACACCTACCTGTAGAGGACACGATTCCCTCTGCTCACGTTCTCGCAATAGGATTTTACTGCGAGCACCGCAGAAGGAAAATGAGGAGAAACAAGCGCCTGAGGGCTGGAGCGTCCAAAAACAAACATAATGGCGCAGAAACGTAAATCCCGACGTCCAGAATGAATTGGATGACAACCGTGTTCATACGCGACGATAACAAACAGGGAGAGAGAGAGGGTCGGACTTAAAAGTGCGCGGTCTTCAAAACCGAAATATTTCCGGTGTTCTTGTTGCTGCGTGTTTCTGTGGTTGCCCATAGCTCTGCCTTGTCAGCACTCTCTTCACACAGCAGTAGCGCCTTCCTCCCTGTCCTGCCAGACCCAGCGATGGAGACTTTCTCTGCCCATGCTCTTCGGGAGTCATTCTTGCTCGCGTGATCAAGAGCACGTCGCTGTCTGTCTGCACTTCCGAGTTGTTAGCGTTACCCGCTGAAGATCTGGAAAGCTTGAGACAGGCCACCCCGACAATCATATTCGTCGCGATGCTAACACAATGAATGGTGAAGACTTTTTGATGAAAATTGGCCACATTTTCAACGCCGTGTTCGTGGAATCTATACCCCCCAGATGTCTCCCTCACACAACTACACGCGCCACGCACGTACATGCGAACCATCTGATTGAAACGTACTCGACAACCAAAAGGACTTAGCGACTTCGTCGGTGTTTTTAAGAGGGAGAGGCGTTGAATTATTTACTGTGTACGCCCCCCTCCCCCCAAACGAGTGATGTACAGCAGTAGGTACACACCGTGATGGCACCCCTTCAGAATATCGAAAGGTAGGCTACACATGGGGTGAATTGAACCTGCCAGGTCTATGCCCTGATGTTTTCTCCGAGAACTAACGTCGACCAACGTGATGTATAGCCGCCGCGCCTGATGCCCTTGGTCCTGTACCTTCTAGCCAAGGGAATAGAAGTAAAAAGCAGCTGAACATGATGCTTGTGCGCTTTCCTTCGTACGCACCACATGTGGAAGGTATTGTATAGGAACGACAGGACAACCTATCAGTCTAAACGGAATTCGAAATCTTTTGAAGAAAACGGTTTGCGCGAACGAAGAGGTCAACAGCAGTAAGTACTATGGTATAAACCAGCACGCGTCAGACCGCTCGGTGGCCCGTCATCGCTATGCCTTTGCCGCAGGGGCCTGGTACGGTCGTCGGCGTCGACTTCTTCGGACCTCTGCCAGTGACTGCCAAGGGCAACTCCTACATTTTGTTGTTCACAGACCGTTTCAGTCGGAGAGCCGACATGTTCGCGGTTACAGCGGCGGAATTTTTTACGGCGAAAGGGACGGCTCACATCTTCGTCAACCAGTACATGACCAAGTGGGAATGTCCGACTACGTTATTGTCGGACAACGGACTGCATTTCTGCTCGAAGCTCTCCATGGCGATCTACGAGGTGATGAAAACCAAGAAGGTCACCACCAGCTCCTACCACCCGCAGACCAACGGCGGCACGGAACGCGTCAATCACACGACGGCCCAGATGCTTGCGGTGGTCGTCAACGAACAGCAAAACGATTGGGACGTACATCTCCCGCACGTTTGAGTTTGCCTACAATAATTCCGTGAACCAGTCAACTGGATTGGCACCAAACGAGATCCACATCGGACGCATCCCGCGACTTCCGCTTTCGGTCTTCGATCATCCCACGGTAGGTGGTCATCAAAGCTTGGCCCGCGATCAACTCGAGTATTGCAACCTGGCTGTCGATCGTTAGCGCCGGGCCTACGAACTTGTCCGTGAGTACAACGCCCTGAAGATTTCGCGAGTGGAACACCGCAATTCATCCCTGCTGGACGCCATCCACAAGCTCCCTCAGTTTACCGTTGGCGGGTGGGCTTGGGTCTACAACACGGCTGCTACGATTCGACAGGGTGTGCAGAAGGACACGGATCAACAGGTAGGTGCTCAAGGCCAAATTCGCACTTTCCTGGACGGGGCCCTACAAAGTTCTTGCGGTGGGTCCCGCTTCTGCCGACGCCACCCCGCACGGCAGCCCGTTGGCGCGTAAACTCCTCTACCTGGACCTGCCTTCCGATCAATCCGGTCCAGCAGCTCGATGTCGCGTGTCTGTCCTTCGTTGCAAGCCCTGTTGCAATCCATACGAGACGGACGACTTGCCACAATCTCTACCCGCTGAGCTTTCGCGTTATTATGTTCTGCACTCTTTCGGAGATAATTGTCCACCGTTCCACGTCACCGCGGATGATGTGTCGGTGCCTGTCGGGCGCCTCGAGGTCGACAACATTTCGGGACATCAACTGGTGCGGGGCCGTAGCGGCGTTCTCGCTGTCCTGTACCAGACGCATTGGTTAGGCCTGACTACTCCTTCATGGGAACCGGAATCCGACCTCGATCAATTCCGTCGACACATCCTCTTGTACTGGTCCCGAGAGGTCTGCCAAAGCAAGCAGGGTAACCGTACATGTCGAGTGGCTCGGACCCGCACGGCACAGCGGGAGCAAGCCCGGAATCGTGGAGAACGCTATTTACCTCCTGGGGCTGATCTTGTGCTTCACGCGACTTGGCTTCGTCGTTTCAGCACTTCGCCCCTCCCGGTGGGCGCGCGGCTGTGGTACAAGGCTCGCGATGGATTGTGGTGGACCGGACGTATTGGTGCTCATCAGGACGGCTCGTACATCGTTCGATTTCTGGATGACCTGGGCCCAAGCGTTCTCCCTCTGCCTGCGCACCTCTACTCCACCGCCTTGGACGCCGTCTGTGGATCATGGTGTTTAGAAAAACATCGTTCGCGCCCTTTGGGCGACACCCGTGGTCGCACCCTGCCCATTACTGACCCATTACCGTCGGCTGTTCCCAACATTTCTTCTTAGCGTCGTCGTTTTCGTGTACGGGTTGGCCTATTTTGGTCTTTTGTGCCCTCCTTTTCGCCGGCGTTTGGATTTTTTTTTCTTTCACCTTCCGTTTTTGTGTTGTTTTCTTTTGTTTGTTTGTTTTCTTTTTTGTCTGTCTTGTCTCTTTTCTTTTGTTGCTTTATTTTGTGTTTTGGACGCTTGGGCCACACCGCCTCAAGACACGCGGTGTCGAGTGATCCTTCTTCCTTGTTGCCTGCATTCGTCTGAATCAGTGAACTGCCGCGACCTGGATGTACGTTCTCTCTCGCCTTTTCCTTAGTTTCTTTTTGTTGTTGGTCTTTGGTTCTCTCGACGGGCTTCCTCCGAAGTTTCCTCGGTGTGGTTTGCCTCTGAACACTTGGAAAAAGAGTTCCCCAAGTTTAGTCGGTGTTGTTTGCCTCTGAACACTTGGAAAAAGAGTTCCCCAAGTAAGTTTCGTCGGTGTTGTTTGCC